GATGTGTCTCATCGGAGTCCGATGTGGTGTTTATCTAACTGACTTTTTACTCGTGTGGTGTTGTCGGGACAACGCTGATGTCCAAGGAAAATTTAAAAATATATAATGAAAGAAAAGGTCGCTATCCTTGGCTAGGAAAGTACGGTCAAAGTCAAAGACTCAACTCTCTCTCTCTCTGCGGTCAAAGTCAAAGACTCAACTCTCTCTGTCTCTCTCTCTCTCAGAGATTAGGTTCTTTTGCTCTTTTTTTTTTATAAAGAAATTGGCCTCTTCTTGTTTTTTTTCTGTTGTTGCATTTTTACCTTTTGTTGGTTTTATACTTTGGCAATTTTTCTAGTGTGGCACCGCGTCAAGGCCACATACGCCAAAAAGTATTTATATAATGTATTGTTGGATATTCGGCGTGCCACGTCAATAAAATTGTCAATGAAAGGACCCGATTGCACTAGATTCGAAAGCGTTTCGGACTTGATTGCACATCATGTCAAAATTTTAGGACTATTGAATAAAGGAAAAATTCCAAATCAGTACCTAAAGTGGGGCCATTTTCTCAAAAAAGGGTCCAAAGTGGACATAGTATCAAATAAGAGCCTTAAGTGCCCGAATCAGTCTCAAATAGAGGCCCGAAGTGCCCAATTAGTCTCAAGTAAGGGCCTGGGTTCGCCGGCTAGTCAAATGCTCACCGGCCGGCGAGCACGTCACTGTTCCGATCGCCGGAATAAGGGCAATTTCGTCTTTTATTTTTTAAATTTTTTTGTTTCTTTTTTCCTTTTACTATTTTTTTCTTTTCCTTTTCTTTTTTTGTCCTCTTTTCCCTCCGCCGGCCATAGCCGGGGCCGGTGGAGGTTGCCGGCCTCAGGTGGAGGCCGCCCTCATTGGCACTGGGCAGCCCTCGCCCAACGCCGGTGAGGGAAACCCGGGCGAGGGCCGCCCTTGCCCGCCTAGCTCATATAGATTGCATCTAAGCAATCTAAGCAAAATTTGCATGATAAATAGGATCGAATTAGTTTTATAAATTGAAAAGATAACAAGAACATATAGATTGCATCTAAGCAAGTTTGCATGATAAATAGGATCGAATTAGTTTTAATCTTTGGCTTTATCATATCATATTAAGAATTCCTTTCTCATCTTTTAGATTACGAAATTTTTATTTCCATAGATTTGTGCCCTTTTTTTATGTACCGCTTACCGCCGGGGGGGGTGTCCTATGCTGAGACAGACCTCATATAATTTTTACCCGATAACGTTCGGGTCTTTACTTTCGCGTACTTTACTTATTACTATTTTGTCATTGCTTTGTTCATTGCCTTGATCGTGGTTGGGTTATCTTTATGGTTTGTGCACCTCTGCAAGATCCATGTTAGCGGCTTAAGTTAATAAAAATGAATAAGTTTACATAATTCACATTATAAAAAAGAAAAAGAAAAAAAAGGGGTTTAGGTACTAAAAAGGCGCTAGGTAGACTTTTAGCGTAACCAAGATCCTTATTCTAGATCTCTAGTTTGGAGGATGCTCCTAGTCAACCACAAATAGGCTGGTGGCCACTTCCAAGTCATATAAGAATCTGATCGTTTAATTGAATCAACCAACGTCGTGCGCGGTAAGGTTCGGAAGAACCCATGCTGAACTAGAGCCAGCGCCTTGATTAAAGGGACCGCCAATTTTCATTCGACTAACTGCTAAACTCGTTTCCCCCGATGACCCATTACGGAGGGTCGCGACAGTTCTCTTTGACAATTGTAGTGGGATTAAAATTCATTTAATTTAAAGTGCATTTTTTTATGTTCAGCGTTGTTCTTTCTGTTATTTTTCTGAAAAAAATATTCTTATCTGGGAGTAATGGGTTTAATGGATGTTGTCTAGATAGGTGGATCTAGATTTATACAATGACGATCTTAGTCATTTCTTTATTGACTGGGCTGTAATTTCTAACTTAAATAGCGGAAACATCATCCTTCTCATCGTTGCAAGGGTGCCTTTGTCATTCACTTGCATGTAGTTGCTTCATAAGTATGTATATAGCTACATGTTTTTGCTGAAACTAATATTTTCAAAATAACAATTTATGAATATTTTGCGGAAGAAAAAAAAAAGATTATGATCCCTTAAATGTAGAAGGTCATATTCATTTCGCAGAGTAGTATAGATAATTAAAATGTGCTTCTCTATCAATTTTTTAATGAGGAGGGCTGCTAGTATATGCGGGAATGAACGAGTGTGATTCCCTTAAAACAATATGAGTCCTTGAATATATCGGTGATTGTAATTTGGATTTGGATTTTTTTTTTTTAGCAATACGAAGCAGTTCACATATGCTAAATAAGTTCAAAGATGCCTCTGGACATAGCGTCCTCATTCAAGTTTTGAGCTGAAAAACAAGGGTATGATGAATTGTGTAACCTCAAGGAAAACTTAGTTTACACAATTCAAGGAAAACTTACCTTGAGGTCACACAATTCATCATTTGTTTATTTTACAAAGTTTTGGGTTCGTCATATGCAATAAATTAACAGTTTTATTTATATATAGTCAAATGAAAATTTGTATGTAATCATCTGTAAACTTCATTACTTTTACTTCTAGATTTCATGCCGAAACTTTCGATAAATTTGCACTATTGCAAAAATCTCATTTTTTATAAGCGAGTAAAATCACGCATCTCTTTTGCGTAGCACACAAATTCTAGTGATTACAGTAGAAACAACTAGGTAATTTTCATCACTAAATTATCGAGAGATCTTTGACAATTCTTTTAGATAATGGATACTCAAGAAATATATATAATAAGAGACATCTAGGATGAGTATTGAAAATGCAATATTAGAAGTTCTCTTTATAGTAACACTAGATTTGGCAACTGAATTATCCTTCGTGTGTTGATTCTATTGTACTATCTAGTCTAAAATCTAGATTATCGATACTGATAGATTGGCAAATATTTATTATTTGTGCAAAAATTTGGAAAATTAAAGGATAAAGCATTTACGATTTAGGTTATGAGAAACGATATCTCCACAACTACAAGATCTACCTTCCCCACCTGCAAGCACCTAAGTTCCCTCCCTTTGTTTTTCTTCTCGGAAGAGGAGGAATACGGAGAGAACTTATAGAGAGATCTCTCCACCATACCGAGGAGGAGGGTAAGATAGACTCCATGTCAGTTTCGACTAGTTACCGCCGGGTAGGCAGGTATAGTAGCCTAGGGTAATGCAAGGGAGCTTCGGCTCCTGCTTGGCTGGCCTGTGCTTCACGTAGTGTCTATTCAACCAACATCCGACCAAGTACCCCTGATTTAATAGACACTGTGCAATCACAATATCCGAGGCTCCCTTGCATCACCCTAGGCGTGGGAGGTTACTATACTTGCCTACTTACCGATAGCTAGCCGAAGCTGATGTTAAGTCTACCTTCTCCACCTACAAGCCCTTAAGTTCCTTCTCATTGTTTTTCTTCTCGGGAGAGAAAGAATACTGTGACATCCTCAAATCTAGACCCTATTCAGGATATGATGAATGGTTATTTCATCAATGTGCAATGAGTAGAATTAGGCTCTGAATGACAAATTTAGCGCAAATTAATTTTTTGACTACAAAAAATACCAAATTGGTACACATATGACAAATTTACCACAACTTTTTGACCACAAAAAACCTCAAGCTGGTACAATTTACCTTCGGTTAGCTTCTGTCAAATTTTACCATTAAAGTTGTTGATATAGATGACACATGGTGACATGGTATGGTGACGTGGCAAGTCCACTTGGAAATCCTATCACGAAAAACCTCAAATTGGTACACTTGTGACAATTTGACTGTATTAGTTTAGAGTTTTTCATAATATTAATCTTATGGATTTTCATATGGACTTGGCACATCACCATACCACGTCACCATGTGTCATCCACATCAGCAAGTTTAACGGTAAAATTTGACAGAAGTTAACAGAGAGTAAATTTGTCACAAGCGTACCGGTTTGAGATTTTGGTGGTAAAAAAAAATTAGTTTGGAGTAATTTTTTGACAAGTGTACCAGTTTAGGGTTTATCGTGGCAAAAAAAATAGTTTATGGTAAATTTATCTTGCGTGTACTAGTTTGGGATTTTTTGTGATATTTATTCCTAATAAAAGAAGCCGGACTTATCTTTTTGATTTGTATTATTTCCTAAGGCTAACTCTACTTTTCCTTTTGATTTTAACTTTTTTCTTTTCTTTTGTTTGGTTATTCAATCCTTTTTAAAGGTTTAAGCTAAAGGTCAAGGAACATCTCTTTCTATTCAATATTTAACTTTTTTAGAAATGCTGAGGTAAAAAAACAAACTTGAACAATATTATGAAGTTATTAAGGTAAAGAAAAAAAATATTCTCTTCCCATGCGCCAGAGGAAAAAATCTTTGATTGTCTGGCTCGACTAGAGTCTGAATGTGACGATCTTGATCCTTTGAAATTGGCACCACATAGCATTTGGAGTTTCGATCATCCTCCACATTTTGTGTAGCAATTAAGGCTGGGGTTAAAAAGAGAGCGCTTGACGAAAACCCAACCCTCTTCCATGAATTACAGATTATAGATCGTGTGCATTCATACATGTTACTATTTGTGCGTTGTGAAGGTCTTAGGTTTTTCCAATCATTAAAAATTCGAAATGTACGAGCCATAAGATTTTTTTTTTAAAGTAGAAAAACAAAAGTAAAAGTTATTTTATAGACACCATCTGAGTAAACCAGAATTCGAGCAAGAAGATATGAAGGAAAATCCACAAATTGGCCTTATACTGATGAAAAACAATAATTGCTTTGAATTTTACAGTGTGGTTAATTAATCGTTTAGATTTCGTCATCTAATTTGGCCTTACACAAATGGCTTTAGCTCGAGGAGACCTAAAAAATATAACATATGAAAGGAAACCTTGACACAAATGATCAGATAAAAAGATGGATATTTTGTGTCTTAGAAGTTGAGATTACAATTGGATCTTATTATTACATCTACCTGTTTGTTTCTAAACTCCACAATTTGCTCCACCGGGTCCCCCAAACAACAAGGTATAGCCCATGAAATCATTGGCATCGTCGAGGGTGGCGCCATAGCAATGTTTCGAGCTCGTGTGAGCAGATGCTCGCCAATACTCAGGCGTGCTCCAACCTTGCGACTCATTCAGGTATTGAAGCAGGTACTGAATCTGTCTGATATAGCATGCGTGCGAGTATGAGTTGTCCGGAAAGTATCCGCTTCCCATTGCCGGGAAGGCCATGCCTTGGGAAGTGTGCGTCGCTCCACCGTACTGCACTGTTTGAGCACCGGACATCAACTGAGGGAGTAACTTAGCCGGCCAATAGCCCACATTTGTGTCAACGTTATCCTTTTCAACTATCAACCACCAATCCTGTGTGGTCAAATCCTGTTGTGAAGTCAATCGTTAAATAGCCGTTAGAGAACTTTTTATGTGTTGTTGAAGGTAAATCAATCCACACACAATGTGATTTCCAACCATGTTCACTAGCATGTTTGAGAGAGGGGTAGGTAACCCGTTTTTTCAGTAATTATTTCTTGTTTTCACAAACATGTTCGTAAAATAAAATGTTTCAAACTCCTTGAAAGAGCAACTGATCACATTTTTCCTCAACTCATGTTCGTCGCTGGTGCAACTTTCATACTACATAGAATTTTTTTTTTTACCATTATTAAAGAGGTCCGAAGAAAAAGAGTTAATTACCTGACGAATTGTGAGATGAATCTCGAATTGTTTCCCACCATAAGAAGAAGATTCTGGGAGAGCTCCTCCTAGAGTAATGGAATGATCAACTTGCACAAAGCCTGGACACCGCAAATCAAAGCATCCCGCTCCATCTAGCCCCTGTTCTTTGAACATATATTAGAATGATTGTCCCTTTTGGACTAGTTTAGAACAATAAAATTAGCACTAGTTGGGTAATTCATCACGCGTAACCACCCATGTCAACTATCATAATTATATATGCAAATGACATAATTCTATGAGTAATCGCCGCTCACCAAACACCGAATTCGATAAAAAAAAATTTCAAAATCTGCATTCCAATGAATTAACATTTCGTAGATAGAAATTGATATTTAGTACGCAGAAATTGAAGAAAGACATATTTCATATGCAAGTCACGCTAACAAATTACAATAAAATGTGCAATAACGATGAATCCGTGAATCCATATAAGACTGGAAATAGAATTTCATTAGGTAATTGAACGAAGACGGGAAAAAAAAAATCTTGAAGGGGCCATCCATGAAATTTCCCTGTTATACAGGTAGTTTTCAGCAAAACTTGTAGCAAGTTAGAACTCACTTTTCAGTAAATAAAGAGATGACTCTGACTGTCGTTGTACACACCTGGATCCACCTATCATGACCAAAATCCATTAAATCCAATATCCTATAGCAAGAAACAATCAGAACAACGCCGAATATGGAAAAATAATGCACCTTAGATCAAATGAAATTTTAATCTTATTGTGATTATGTTCTTATATTTTCTCTATTCCCATTCAAAAAGGAAAAGAAAGATCTAATTTAATTGATATATCAGGAAAACGTACCCTCCATCCAGCTTCTATCGAGTTTGCTTGATTATCGAGCTCGGTGAAGATCCACATCTAAGCTCCACTATATTGTCCATTTTCACACCTTGGAATGTAATTATCAATGAACGCTTTTGCTCCGTGCATAGGACTACCGTTAGATAGCAGGTCCAGAAAAGCGAACTTGAAAAATTGAGAATGATATCATTGGTAAATGTAATTATTGTGGCCAATCATCGATAGACATACGAAATTCACTACAATACGACGCATTAAGTTTTTAATAATAAGTCATGTGATTACAAGAGAGCGAAAGATACGTCGAAGGTCATTGAAACAAGTTAAGTTGAATGCAAAAATGCACGAAATTAATTGGATAATACAAGAGACAACAATTCATTATGAATTAACCGGCGGGGTTCCCTGGGTCATCAAAAAAAAAAAAAAAACAATTCATTATGAATTTAATTTCGTCATTAAGGGAAGAACTTACATGATAACCCGGAGAATCGGTAGTCGAAGGATGATATATCTGTGGACGTGTCTGCTCAAGCAATTTGGCTCTCACCCGATCTTCCTTTATCGTTCTGAGAATTGGAATAGTTCCATAAGGACAGCCATCCAAAACATGTGATATCTCGAGTTGCTTAACTTGTGCTCTATGTATGTGCTTTTTTGCATTGAGAGAAAAGCTAGGCTTTTTCTGTCCACAATTTAGTTCATGCAACAATTAGGGACTAAACCAATATTATTGAAATACTGGCAGAATTTCATGGAAAATTGTACAATTAGTACGCAAGACAGTGTCTCTGCTATCGAATAGAGGAGGAGGAGCTAGCGGAGGCTGCTTTGTGCATTTGTACGATAGAATAGGATCGATTGTGCAATTATCCTCGTAATTTTGCCAATAAATTAATACCCGAAGCTTATGATCTTTCAGTAAAGGGTGGTCGAACGCTGGTTGTTTATATATGTCGATACAATCAATGATCTCTCCATAGTTTGTCTACAGTAGTTACGAACAACGGAAGTTAGTACATCGATACAAGTGACAAAGAAACTCACGTCGTGCACCGGGACAAAATTCAAAATCAATCAAAATACCTTAAAGGTCTTAATAGGCCGCCTCTCTTGCTCCAACTCTTGTTCTTCAGCATTGGAACCCACAAGAAGGGCAAACCATACAACTGCAAGCAAGGAGATTTTTCTCAACCCCATTGTCTGAATCTTTGTGTGATATGATTTGCCAAAGGGCTCTTTTATATGTTACAATTCGTATTTTCGAATGGAGAAAGAATGCACTGATATAAAGAGGTAGGAAATCTCTTTCCACTTTTCATGGAAGCGATTGGATTATTTTAGTTATGGCAACTTAATTTGCAGTTGTTCTTATCCAATTTCTTTCCATTACTGCAAAAATCTCATTTTCTGTAAGGAGAATAAAATCACGCAATTTTGTCCACCGCACATTCTAGTGACTACTATAAAAACAATCATGTAATTTTCATTACCAAATTATTAAACGATCTTTGAAATTTCTTATAGATCGGCTACTCATTTAAGACCCAATAATCGGAAAATAAAAGGACAAAATATTTTTAATCACTGTCGCATGGAATTCCATTTTCCTTTGAAATGCTCCCCTAATTTCAAACGTCGCTGCGTTTTGCTGTCCTTTTCTAACGAGAGAATCCCCTATTTTTGTTCGGGGTTTTCTTGTTTCATTTGTTTGGGATGATTTGTGATGGAAAAGGAAAAGGTTTGGACTCATCTTTTCTCAACGGAAACAATAGCAGACCTTACGCGCATGCAAGATCATATAAAACATAACAAATGGGTTGGTTAAATGGCCAAATACTTTGTCTGGAAGTGACGAATCCCGTTTTTAAATCGTATCTCTCATTCAAATTAGCCTTGGGAGCGATGCTCGCTACATTGTAGGTGCAACCTCAACCCCAAACTTGTTCGATGTTTTTGGACGAGACTCATTTCGTATATCCAAAAGGATTAGTTGAGTCAAAAGGTGTGGCTACTGCTTATTAATCCGAATTGATTTCCAATTTCATTCTTGCATCTATTGCGAAACCCAAGCAACATGACCATGCTTAGCTACAACAAAACACAACTATAAATTTATTGAATTGAATATTGACTAAATCCCAATTTTAGACACCAAGCTCAATAGAGCTCTGACAAAGCAACACGTCCCAACCTTTCACAACTTAGCTGTGGATAAATGTTTGTTTATTTGTATATGTTGGACATGCTTATCCTTATTTTTTAAGTTTATGACGTGTTTTGTCCAAAGACTCTTGCTTAAACTGCTTCGGTGACCAACAAAGATTTCATTCCCTTTGTGACAGTTAAGTTATAGTCACCAGATACATTGTCTTTTCATGAACACGTTATTGGGATTTGATTGAGAAACTATCGGATAATAACTTAGAGGTAAGTAAATGTTCATATAGAAATGTCAAACAGCCAGATACTATAAATGTCGAATAGCTTGGATAATGTTTTGATTGACGTATAATGCTGACTGTTTGCTAGACTTCAAATGTATACCAGCGGTAAATTTATTTTTGCCTTTGGATTTTTATGGATGTCATGTTTTTTATGTTTCACCAGAGCAAGCTAACTGACATGTAATTGGTATCATTAGGTGGCTTTAACCAAGGATCTTTGTTGTTTGACGGTTGCATTCTCAGAACTTGTTGAAGACATTGTTGAATCAAGAGGGTGTCATTGGAAAATTAAAGGATGAAGCGCTATGGTTTAGGTCACGGGAAATGATATCTCCACAACTACAAAATCTTCTTCCCCAACTATTTTATATTTTATATATTTCCAACCGAAAAAACTATTTTATATTTTGTATCTTGTAACAGCCCGAATTTCGATGTAATTCCGGGATCAATAAAATTGACAATATTTCGCATTTCATTTTAGTAAGTCTCGGTGAGTGATCACTCTCGGGATACTAACCAATGGGGTATGGCTAACTAGGAAGCGGTACGTGGACCGGGGACTCGGACGGTGAACGGGACACCGATCTCGAGATACGATGAGTGAATATTTTGGGCCAACGTGGGCCGATCTTAGGAAAGGTGATGGATTTGGTTTGGCCAAGGCCAACGATGTACAATCGGATCGTAGGTGATTACGCAAGGCCGAAAGTGCACGTGGCCAACCGGTCCTGAACTGAACCGAACGATCGTGATCCTTGGAACTAATGATAATTTCTCATTCTCTCAATGATCGGGACCGTCGTAATTCGAATAACCCTAGGTCGATACGCGTATGTCCTAAACAGCCGTGATTAGCGAGAGACCGAAATTGAAACTGGAGCGAGTTTTGATCACGAAATTGGGCCCGGTTTCGATGTCGATTTTCGAAGGCTTAAGAGACTATTTTGGGAATCCGACGTCATATTACGCTGGCCACACACGTTTGGAGTTAGTACGAGTAAAAAGTGGAATTTCGGTCCGGGGTGAAAAATTACGGTTTTGCCCGTGGGCACCGAGGCTGGATTCGGAGGCCGTTTGAGGTTATTTTTCGCGGCCAAGGTCATTTTGGGGTGGCCACGTACATTTAGAGTGGTTTTGGCCAAAAATTGGAATTTCGACAAAAATTGGAAAAATAATATTATTTTATTCCCGAAACTTCGCAGTCGATTTTCGAGGGCTTAGAAAGTGAATTTCGCGAATCCGACGCCATATTATGTTGGCCACGCACATATGGAACACGTACGTGCGAAAATTGGAATTTTGCCCCTGGGGCCCAGGAAAAATGACGGTTTTGCCCTGAAGGCTTTTCGGGTCGAATTTTTGGGAAATTTTTGGGATAAGTAACTGTGGTTATCAGCTGCATTATTGGCACCAAAGACCCAATTGCCCCTCAATTATTTAAGCCTATCTCTTTAGAACCGTTAGATTAGGGGCGTTTTGGTCATTTTTCACGGATCGGCGACATGTGGCACTATGGGCTGCCCTTTTTGACCAACTCAGACCAGTTTTCTCTCTCCTCAGCCCTCCCTCTCGGCAGATCAGCCCAGCCACAGCAGCTTCTCCCTCTCTTTCTCTCATTTTTCTCTCTTGATTTTGGCTCGCCGGAGCTTGCCGCCGGCCACCGGAGCACCGCCGCCGACCGCCGTGCCCCGCCGTCGACCACCACAGCCCCCCAGCCTGAGCCTTGCCTCTATCCAGCCCTTTCTCTCTCCCTTTCCCTCTATTTTTCTCTCTTTTTCTCTCCCGGTAAAGCACCGCCGCCGCGTCCGAGCCTCGCCGGAGCTTCGCCGGAGCTCCGATCGCCCTTCCGTCGCCACCCAGCCGTCCAGCTTGTCGGTACGTCGCCGTTCGTCGCCGGCCGTACGGTGTCCGTACGGTCGGTACTGTAGCAGTCCGTACGCGCCCCCGTCCGTACGGCCTTTCGCGGTCGTCACCACCGTCTCGCCGGCCACCGTTCCTGCCCCGTCCGTACAGTCGTGAACAGTACATGTGAACAGTCGCCGTGAACAGTGCGCGTGAACAGTACGCGCCCCCGGAATTCCGCCGCCGGTTTCACTGTTCATCAGTGATCGGCCGCCGTTCCCCGTCGCCGTGGTCCAGAAATTAAGTGAGTAAAATTCCTAAACCCGGATTAGGGATTGTAAGTGCATTTTTACGGGTGGTTTAGTTATTATCGGTACAATTTGATGGCTTGGATAGTATCGGTGGGTATTTCGGCTGGGTTGAGGACGGATTGGAAGAAATTATCATTGGGAAATTTAGTGGATTAATGAGAATTATTTGGGGAGATTAATTGGATTAAATGACCAATTTAGGAGCACTGTTGGAAAATTACAGGGTATGTCCGGGTTGGTGATTGTACGTCAATAGTGCTTAATTGTGGTTGATTTCGTATCTTGCTATGTCGTATGTTGTGTGGCTGATTTTGTGGAGTGCGATTGGCCATTGTTTGGTTTACAATGAATTGCTGATTTGTGAATCGCACATTAGGCCACACGGTATTAATTGGGCCAATTAAGCACGTGTTGTGACATTGGATGTCTGAATTATGTTGGTGCTCGTGGTGCATTGCATTGCATAACATGGACACGCATTGCGTATGCCAAGAGTGAGGCATGTGATGAAATTGTGCGAGAATGCGTGTCTGTCACGAGCATGTGATCACCTAAAATACCCTGAGCGTTATACGGCGGGTTCGAATAATAATGAGTTGTGTGATCACCTACGGACCTTCGGGTCGATACCGTCCTCATGCACTTTGAAGCGGGACGATGCCCGGTACATCGGAAGGCGACCATCCTCATGCACTTTGAAGCGAGGCTGCGGTTCGCAAGGAGATCGGTGTTGCGCCTCATGCACTTTGAGCGAGGCTAGAGACACTTGGGCCGGATCGGTTCTTTGCGCCTCATGCACTTTGAAGCGAGGCTAGACGCACCGGGCCGTGAAAAATTGATGACTCGAGTCGTAATAATAATTAATTGGGCAAGTGTGCCAGTATGGGCCAGTGGGCCGGGAACTACACGTGACATGTCGACGACATTTGCATGCATGAACATGCATGGACTGGCATGCGAGTGTGTGAGCCTCGGTGCATGAGCATGTGATTGGCGTACGTGTGATAATATGTGCCACGTACGTGCCATGATTATTATATATTGAGCGCCTAACTGCGCGGGGTTGGAGAATTATTTGATTGTTGTTGCATTATGGTTTCACTTATTTATTTTCCGGTCAGGAGATTGCATGCTAGCCTAGCCTAGGTTTAGGGGTTGAACTCATTGAGATTCGTCTCACGGTTGTGTAAACCAGAAACATTTCGAGACCCCACCGTAGAATGTCGAGGGCATCACCTCTTTTGGGATACCGCACAATATTCGGCGGTCGTCAAGCGTGCACCCCCGTGGTGATGGAGCAGCCTATGTGAGATATTATGCTGTTTTGTTTGTAAATGTGGGAGAGGCGCACTACCACACCCAATAATATGTGGCTTGGTGCTATCGAGGAGCCGACGAGCAATCGGACCCCGCTCGGGACCTTTGATGTCCGGTAGACGTGAATAATGTCATGATCCACGGATGGTAAGTGGTGAGATTTCCGATCCTCCAACTACGCGATTGGAGCGACGGGCGAAACCGTGGACCGGACCTCTTGCTATGGTCGAGGAGGTGAGGAACTGAAGTGTTGTATGCGATCCGGAACCCTTGGACCACCGGAATGAAGAAGAGCCGGTAGCCATGGAAGTAGATCACGAATAGGATGGAGAGGTTGAGGAAGCTGGGATCCGATCAAGAAATAGGAGCCGAGGGACAGCCGGGATTATACTTAGACCACGAGTTAAAACCGGATTCGGTGGACGAGAGTGATGCGGCGAGAGGACATGGATTCGAGGAGTCCGAGTCCCGGGAGAGCTCGATAGAGGAGTCCTCGGGGTCCGACCGGATGGGGTCCCTAGGTTAGCAATACTCCTCAGTAAAGCGAGTACACCTTTTTGACTGAAGCCTGTCTTAGTCCCATCTAGTATCCCTAGCTACTGACCCTTTTGACCTAGAGGCTGCTATTATGAGTGTTGACTACTGTTGTTGTATAAACGAATATTGTAAAAAGGTTTTTATAGCAATGTAAGTATGTACCTATTTTCTACTGCGATCGTGTTTATTGCTTGGCTATCCTTGGCTCGTATTTTATAATTGTCAGGGTTGTTTATTTAATCGCTTCTGCATGTGTTTGATCTCTGATTGGGCGCTGGGTCGGCGATGCTTCCTGGGAGCGTCGCACTGCAATCGACTAAGGTAGGGATGTTAGCGCTTCGTAGGGTACGGGGCGTGACATATCTCGAATGGACAAAGTTATCCTCAAAAGCCAAAATCTCCATGAAGACTCTTGAAAAATAGAAAAGGGCAAATATCATTAAAATAGAGTAATAATAAATGAAAAAAAAAACTGCACTTATCTTTTATTGAAATAATAAACCCAACCCCCTTCCATGAATTACATATTTTAGATTGTGTGCATACTTATATGTTAATATTTGTGTGTCATTAAAAATTAAAAATGGACAAGCCATAAGATTTTTTTTTGTAAAAAAAAAAGTGAAAAAAAGTAAAAGTAATTCTATAGACTCCGTATGAGTAAATCAAAACTCGAGCAAGAAGATACGAAGGAAAATCCCCAAACGAAGACGCAAATACTTTCTGGAGTTTGATTTTCTACACTTATTATCACGGTAATGAACGATTTAAATATATTCATACAGATATGTTTATGCGAAATGCGGGCTATGTAACTAGATTGAATAATTGTATGATTTTCGCCGAATACATATCGCATTGCAGGTTATTTATTTTGATGAAAAGAAATAGTTGCTCTAAATTTGACGGTGTGGTTAATTAATTGTTTAGATTTCATCATCTAATTTGACATTACATGAATGGCTTTACCTCAAGGAGGGCTCAAAATGTAACATATGAATGGCAAGCTTGACAAATATGAGAAGATAAAAATATGGAAATTTATATATCGGAAGTCGACATTATAATGAATCTTATTCTTATATCTATCTGTTTGTATTTAAGCTCCACAATATCCACCGGGTCCCCCGAACAACAAGGTATAGCCCATGTAATCATCGTCATCGTTGACAGCAACGCCGTAGCAGTCTTTCGAGCTCGTCTGAGTCGATACTTGCCAAGACTCGGGCACTTTCCATTCTTTCGAGCGATCCGTGTAGTGAATTTGTCTAATGTAGCAAGCATGCGAGAACGACTTGTCCGGAAAGTATCCGCTTCCCATCGGCGGGAAAGGCATGTCTTTGAACGCGGACGTCCCTCCTCCGAAGAATAGTGCCTCGGCGCCGTCCTTCATTTCGGGCAACAACTCAGCCGGCCAATAACCCACGTGAGCAGTACCGTTAGCCGTTTCGACTATCAACCACCAATTGTTTGTGGTCAAATCCTGTTGTGAAGTCAATCGTTAAATAGTCGTTAGAGAACTTTTTATGTGCTTCGAAGAATGATATTTCGCTCGTGGACGAGTAAATCAATCCACGCACAATGTGATTTTCAGCTAAGTTCACTAGCATAATTGAGAGACGGGTAGGTAACCCTTTTTTCAGTAATTATTTCTTGTTTCACAAACACGTTCGTAAAATAACATGTTCACGTAAAAAAAACGTTTCAAAATCCTTGAAAGAGCAACTGATCACCTTTTTCCTCAACTCATATCCGTTGCTGGTGCAACTTTCGTACTACATAGAAATTCTTTACTTTTTTTTTTTCCATTATTACAGAGGTCCGAAGAGAAAGAGTTAATTACCTGATCAATTGTAAGTTGAATCTCGAACTGTTGCCCGCCATAAGAAGAAGATTCTGGGAGAACTTGTCCGAGAGTAATGGAATGATCAACTTGCACAAAGCCTGGACACATCAAATCATAGCATCCTGTTGCACCTGCCTGTTCTTTGCACATGTATTAGAATGATTGTCCATTTTGGACTAGTTTCATTTTACTCTTTGAACAATAGATTTGGCACTTGATTGGGTAATCATCACGCATAACCAGCCATGTCGAGTATCATAGTCATGTATTCACATGACATAATTCTAAGAATAATCAACACCCATCGAACACCGAATTCAATAATCTTTTTTTTTCAAAAGCTGCATTCCAATGAATTAACATTTTATAGATAGAAATCGATAGTTAGTACGCACAAATTGATGAAAGACATATTTCATATACAAGTCACGATACCAAATTATAATCAAACGTGCAATAACTACGAAGCTGTGAATCCATATGAGACTGGAAATATAATTTCACGAGGTAATCGAATGCAAACCAAAAAAAAAACTTGAAGGGCCAAAATAGAACTAGGTAAACTTGTAGCAAGTTAGAACTTACTTGCCAGTAAATAAAGAAATGACTCCAACTGTCCTTGTATAGATCTGGATACACCTATCATGACAAAATCCATTAAATCTAATATTATATAGCAAGAAACAATAAGAACAACGCCGACTATGGAAAAATAACGCACCTTGGATCAAATGAAATTTCAATCTCACTGTGAATATGTTCTTTTATTTTCTTTATTTCCATTCAAAAAGGAAAAGAAAGTCTTGATTAATTTATATATCGGGAAAGCATACCGTCCATCCAGTTTGCATTATGTTTGTTCCGCCAGTGATCCTGCTGGCGATCCTAAGCAGAGCTGCACTAGATTGTCCATTTGCACACTTTGGAATGTAATTATCAATGAATGCTTTTGCTCCGTGGAAAGGATTACTTCCGCTCCACAGCTTCAGAGTGGCAAACTTTGAGAAATTGAGAATGATGTCATTGGTAAATGTAATTCTGATGGCCAATTATCGATTGACATACGAAATTCATGACAATACGACATATTAGGTTTTTGATAGTAAATCATATAATCACGAGAGAGCTAAAGATATGTCGAAGGTCATTGAAACGAGTTAAGTTGAACACAAAACACGAAATTAATTGTGTAATACAAGAGACAACAATTCGTTGTTAATTTAATTTCGTCATTAAGGGAACAACTTACACGAAGACCTGGAAATTCAACAGACGATGGATGATATATCTGTGGATGTGTCTGCTCAAGTAATTTGGCCCTTATCCGATCTTCCTTTGTCCTTCTGAGAATTGGAATAGTTCCATCGGGACAGCCATCCAAAGCATGTGATATCTCCAGTAGCTTAACTTGTGCTCTCTGTCCGTGCTTTGTTGCATTGAGCGAAAAGCTAGGCTTTTTCTATCCACAATTTAGACAGCAACACTTAGGGATTGAACCAATACTACAGAGTACTGACAGAATTTCATGGAAAATTGCATAATCAGCAAAGCATGACGGTGTCTCTGCTGTCGAATGGAGGAGGAGGAGAAGCTAGCGGAGGCTACTCTGTGCATATGTGTACGATAGAATAGGATCGATTGTACAATTATCCCCGCAATTTCGACAATAAATTTGTACCTGAAGCTTATGATCTTTCAGTAAAGGGTGGTCGAACGCTGGTTGTTTATATATGTCGATACAATCAATGATCTCTCCATAGATTGTCTTCAGTAGTTACGAACAACAAAGGTTAGTACATCGATACAAATGACAAAGAAACTCATGCGTAATAGTATATGTACATAAGCGTGCACCGGGACAAAATTCAAAATCAATCAAAATACCTTAAAGGTCTTAATAGGTCGCCTCTCTTGCTCCGACTCTTGTTCTTCAGCATTGGAACTCACGAGAAGGGCAAAACATACAACTGCAAGCAAGGAAATTTTTCTCAACCCCATTGTCTGAATCTTTGTGTGATGTGATTTGTTAAAGGGCTCTTTTATATGTTACAGTTCATATCTTCAAATGGAGAAAGAACGCTCTGGAATTAAAAGGTAGGTAATCTCTTTCCACTTTACATGGAAAGTGATTGGATTATTTTAGTTGTGGCATTACTTAATTTGCAGTTGTCCTTTTAAGATTTCTTTCCATTACTGCAAAAATCTCATTTTCTATAAGGAGAATAAAATCACACAATTATGAGCATTGCACATTCTAGTGACTTCTATAAAAACAATAAGATCATTTCATTACCAAATTATTAAACGACCTTTGAAATTTCCTGTAGATCAGCTACTCATTCAAGACCCGATAATCGGATATTCAAGAGATGTATATATCATAATGAGATACATCTGTAATGAGTATTTGATGTTCAAAATTAGAGGTTTTCTTTATGCTCACATTAGATTTGGCATCTGAATTGTCCGTGGTTTTGTTGATTCTATCGACTATTTAGTCTAAAATTGCTATATAATCGAGACTAATAATAAGGCATACATCATTGTTTGCACAAAAAATCAGAAAATAAATGGATAAAATATTTTTTAATCACTATCGCGTGGGATTCCATTTTCCTAGAATGCTCCTAGTTAATTGATTGAGGGGCATATGCACCAAAAAGTGACCGGGTCATCAACATGTGATTAATGCAATGAGTGTTGCTAGACACGTAACCAATCGGTATCAATGCTAGTGCTTATCGATAAGTGTCGCCAATTTGTTGTTGATATACGATCACGATTGGGTAATGATAATTGGTAAGAGTACCTATTGATAAAGATCAATGATCTATCAAAGTATTAAGAGAAAAAACCCATCAAGATATGATTGCGAGTTTGAAGCCCCTAGAGAATGAAGTGACTGCGATCGGGGGATGGTTAACATGCATTTTATAAAAACAACCGCTTAAACACAAGATCATGGTGTCATGGGAACATGGGCACAAGATTTTCAGAATGGAAGAACATAGGCACAACCTCTAGGAACCACTCAAGAACAGTTATGGCACAACCACTATAAGTACAATCGCCTATCCACTGAAGTCTCGCCGACCCCTCGCACAAATCAAACAAATTTATTACCTTTCAATATCTTTACTTTCTTGTATCGTGTTTTTATCTTTCAAACTCACGTCATCGATTAAATTTCGATATAATATTTTTGTGTTCTCAAGTTTTATCATCGTTTAAATTCTCATAGAGTTGGTTTATGTCCGATTCGCTTGTAATAACTGTACTTTCAGACCTTGTTGTCGATTAAAACCAGACACGGTGTGCATTTGTGTAGTTTTGTTTGAATTGAAGTTGTTGGTTCCTTCATTTGCTTGTGATACTTTCCTGTCTGAGTCAGCGCAGAGCCCGTCTCCTTCAATTAAAAACCGAATGGTTATAAACATAAAGCAACCCAAAACTGTAACAAAGACAATCCTTCCAATAATATCCTTATCACTAAACAATATATCCACAATGGTGCTATGGTGTACACCAAGCCTTCTTTTCATTTGAACAGAGGGTGGGCTAATGTTGCTTCCACTGCTGTTCTTGCCAACCATATCCAGGCTCTGAATATCAGTCAAGTGCTTAATGGCAATCCAAGGTGTCGAGAGGAACTTGAAGTAGGAAGAGATTCATCAAACTCTCTTCTGTTTGTTGCTAGAGAAGTGGATAGTGGCCTGTGGTTCACAGATGGCATGGTTTCTACCGCTCGTTTGATTTTTTTTTTAGCGGATCTTTTTTCCCCACTAAAGAAATGAACCTGCAGGAACATTCTATTATAATTATTTGATTTCTGGTTGAATTTATCTTACGTCAGTATGTTGCAAGTCATGCTACCAAAGTCATTCTTGTTGGAGTTGGCGAATACTTCGGGGACCCTTGTTTCTCACACCGGGTAAGCGGGCGGGCGGGTTTGGGCTGGCCCGTATAGTGCGAGATTAAGAGATTTCATATAGGTTTAGGTTTTGGGCCCGTTTGGGGCATATATATATTTTGCTCGTTTTTCTGATCATTGTAACGAGTTGAGTGGCTGTAAACCTAAAAACATAGTGAAATCTCTTTGCAGGACGTAACCCTAATCGAGGGTGAACCTGGGTAAATTCGTGCATCGTCTATTTTCTCTGTTTTCTGCGTGATCGTTCTGTTTCGGTTCTCGATACGTCCCTTCAATTCTTACCAATGATGGGGACAATCTTGTGTATCTGCAAATAAAGTAAGAACTGCATCTTTCAGCAACTGTTCCAGCTCAATTTAACACGGAGAGCTAAACATATAAACCCGCAATGGAGCATATATAAGTATGACAAAAGCAGCAGAGAAGCAACAGTCTGGAAGGATATGACATTGCAATGTCCAACATATAGCATTGTTTGAGTTAAAATTTTATGACACCATAGACAGCAGTGCAACATAATAATTACTTGCCTGAAACCAGAAAGTTAAGAGAGATGTGAAATAAATGCTTAGCATACTATAGCTAAGGGTCATATCTTTACCACCAGCAGATAGATCAGCAGTACGAGACAGATCATACCCAACATTCCACCAGCGGACAGATCATGCCCAACATTCCCAACTACTTATCTCTTGCTTGATATCTTGGTCATTGGAAATGCAACGATAAATATGTATACTAGTGAGGGCGAGAGAGAAAAGTCATCCCAGAGTAGAGTGTTGTTTATACCGTTTCTATGCATATAATTTGTTTTATAATTCGTTAAAACGTGGATAATATTCACACTGTGACGGAAAATCAAACGGTTCTGCTTTGTCAAACAATTCTCCTTTCTTGGAGAAGTCGGATCATAGATCATATTCTTGTGTGAGTCTATGGTTCCTCATGGGGATCATGCCTTCACAGATTTTCACAATTGGATCGAAAAGCAAAACATCACAACCGTCTAGGCTGAAATCTTATCAAATGGTTTAAAGATTTATTGCGTTTCAATCCAATGGCGAGAGATATGTGATGGCATCATGCCCCTCGGGGATCTTTCCTAATTTTTCTTGTGTGGTAACTTTTATAATTACCGTGGAAGCGATTGCCAACGAGAATGAAAGTAGCTTGATTAACTTCTCCAAAAAGGCACTTCGAATGAATTCTTGCTTTGCCTCCGACGCTCGTCTATGTGAGACCGTGCATGGACTCATGTTAAGTCCATTTCTAGTGTTGATCATGTAGGCCTGACACTGGGTCTCGTGTAATTGACTAAGATGGTCTATAAAAACTTTTCTAAAATTGAAAAATCGAAAAGAGTCGGTGCCTAGCATTTTTCAAAAGGACTAGTCGTAAATTCATAATGTTCGGCACGATGAGAAAACTCATACATGTCATTAATTCAGCTACTTTGTACCGAGATCGATAAAATTTGAAGCATGAATAATCTTTTAACCCATATTTAAAAAGTAGAAAACAATATAGATGAAGAAGATTCATATTTTTATCGTTTTTGTCCGGAAATGTTTGGTATTTTTATCAATAATTTGTCGTGAAAACATGTTTACTATCTTCATTAGCAAGAGGAGTTGATATGCATTGCGAGAAGTTTTATATACTTAAATTCGAGTCCAGTCGGGTTGAGCTCAAGTATGTCAAGTTTTATATAAAGTCGAGTTCAAGCAAAAAAAAAAAGAGCATATGATCAAAGCTCTAGTCGAGTTTCAAGCTTCGAGTTTATGGGTTGAGTCTACCTTGAGCCTAGCACTGTGTCAGCTCAACTCAATTCAAGTCACTCAATCACAGCTTCTCGAGGCCATAAACGCTACTGCCATTGGACAGTCTCCTATGCTTGCACCGGGTTTAGCTTGGGTTTACCAGATGTTCTATCAAGCAAGAACTTTGGGCTTGGCAGGGCATTCGTTTACAGCTGCAACAAGAAAAAAGAGTGCTTTTCATGGATAGAAATCTCCCATTTCTATCGTTATCGAAATTTGGCCTAAAGTCCTACGCGGTTGGTACAGTTGGTTAATGACTTTGTTGATATAGTGGAGATGATTCATCTTGTATTTGAGCTCCCTTTTGGTTTTAAGAGTTGTTTTGTGTACAGCTTCAGTTTTTTGAACTCCTTCTATATATGGGTTTCTACCTCCTTGGTGCCCTATACCTGAACTTTTTATCTATAAAAATAAAATTACACCTTTCTGAGGATTTTTAGGTTTTTGCAATAGCCCTTGATCCTAACACTTGGTTATCTAGTCATATTGTTTCAAGTACCAGCATTAACATCTCAAATATGATTTTGTGCTAATCACTAATCAGCATAACCATCATCCTCATACCCTGCTGGATTTATTGAGCGCAAAAACACAATATTAACTAACAATCATGATTCTTTTCGTGAGTAAAGCTCATCGGGACAAACTCAGCCCAAACCCTTGTGATGTCACTGAACCGACGTATTAGGGCAGTAATCAAGAACACAACAAACCCAACAACCAAATCAGCTAAGGCTAAGTTAGGGTGCCTTTACAACCTAAAGTCAAGATCTAAGATGTTCGACAGAAGCTTTAGATCCATAGAGCTACCGACACATTATCCAAAAAGAACAGTAGTAGGGATACTGAGACTAGTATGAAAAGCTGGTTTGAAGCAAGTTTAGGTTTTATCATCTCATTTTCTTCGTATAACTGAGTTTTCATTCGCATCCTTAGCTTGTTGACAATAAACATATCGTAGGAAACAAGAGTCTCACTTACCACGTTGAGTTCAATGAGTGCAATGTGGTTGTATATGTAATTCTTGATTTCTCCTAGGCTCTAAAATAGTGCTAATTGTGTCACGCCCCGCACCCTACGAGCGCGCAATCATCCCTCGATGGTCGATCATTGAATGCGACGTCCCAGGCACGTCGCCGACCCAACCCAAACATCAGAGATTAGGCACGCGCGGAAACAAATAGAAACAGCTCGGACAATTAATAATGACAAAGGTAGCAATAGCACGAAATAATAAATGCAATTCC